CAGGTGCCCCAATAAGATGGTTCTAAAATTTATGTTAGACTAGAGGGCCAAGAATAACCCTGTCACCTTTGAAGAAGGACAGGAAGATAAGATTTGGCCTACCATGTATGAAGCCTTACTATGAAGCTTACAGAACTTTAGAAAGTATAGGAGAACAAATGACTTGTTCAGTGGGATAAAATACGAAGCTCGGGCAGAGCTACATGTGTGAACTTAGTTGTATGAAAGAGATGGCATGTCAGATCACTGGGGAAGGAAGGAACTCTGCAGTAAATGGAGCAGGACAAAACTGGTTATCTGTTTGGAGAAAGATGAAAGTAGAACCCTACATGGCCATATTTAAAAACCAGTGCTACTACGGGTGCCTGGCTGGCTCACTAAACCATGCCATCACGGGGTTGTGAGCTCAAGGCCCACACTGAGTGGAGCCTACTTAAAAAAATTTTTTTTAATTAAAAAAAATAATAGTAAATAAAAAATAACTTTAACACTCTTAGTTTAACGTATAAGTAGATATCTAATTGATCTTGGGGTAAGAAAGTGTTTCTTAAGGAAGAATCCCCAAAAATGTACTTATCATAAAATAGTGATAATTTGCCCAAGTTAAAAGAAACGACTTTTGTTTATCAGAAGACATCTAAAATAAAAAGACAAGTTTTAAGCCAGGATAGGATTTTAAAACTGATAATTAGTATTGAGAGTATTTAAAGAATACATACAAAAAACCCAAAGGAAAAATGGGAAAAGGACACAAACATTTGTTAGAAGAAAAAAATTTATGGCCTACACATACATAAAAAGATGTTCATTATCATTGGAAATGGAAATCAAGAACATGCTAAAATACCATTTTACATTTATCTGATGGACAAAAGTTCAGAGTTCTAACAATACCAAGCATTGGAGAAGATGTAAATCTACAGGATCTCTTAAATACTGCTAGTGGTGATATAAATTGGTACGACGACTCTGGAAAACAGTCTGACATCATCTTGAAAAGTAGAGCGTTTGTAAGCTTTATGTCCCAGCAGCTCTGTTCCTAGATACCCAAGAGGAACTCTTTCCTGTGTACTAGGAGACACGTATATAGATGTTTTACAACGTTGTTCACATAGCACTTGATGTTCTAAACAAACCCCTCTATTCACTGTATAGTGAGCAACCTGAAGTACAGTGTCCTCTCCTTGTCTTTCCGTCCTGCTGCTCCCCCACTGTCACACTAATCTTGAATGAGTTTCCCCTCTTTTCCTTACTCCACTTTCTCTATTTTTCTAGACATAGGTCAAGCCTTATATCAAACTGACTTTGTAGGATTGGGTTACATATACCTAAAAGAGTTTCATGGAGTTTTCCCTCTAATTTAGCAGACCCTTTGAAGATAATGTCGTAGTTTCCCTCTGCCCCCTATACTCCTGATTTGGCCTTTGTGATAAATCTCTTCTTTGAGCTGCTACTGGATTCTGAGGAAGTTAAATCCACTCACAAAACTCATCAAAAAATTCTATTACGGTATTAGACCTAGTCCTTTTGGTTGTACAATAAATTAGAACCATGAGGAACTTCTACCTGATTGATGACAACTTAAACCTTTCTTCTGTCCTACTGTCAATTCCCCAAAGGCAAATTCCACATAGCACATAGGAAATTTAATAATTTGCTAGTTTCTGGTTGTTTTAGTAGAAACAACAGAACTAGACTTATGACCTTGGTATTTGAAATTAATAACATTCATGATGTTGACAGAACAATAGATCATTATTTGAATACTGGAAATGAATCAGAGCACACGTTGGCAGATAAAATGCATGCTCTTTTGAAAATTCAGCCCATTACCAAAACAATTTCTATTTATCAGTTCTTTAAATAGACCACTCTGTATTAAGAAGGGTAAGTGCAGAAGTACTATGAGAATAATTACTGAGAAATTAAGCCAAAAATAAAATTATCTGCAGGCATCGCCGAATGGAGGCCGTGCGACTGCGGAAAGAGAACCAGATCTATAGTGCTGATGAGAAGAGAGCCCTGGCGTCCTTTAACCAAGAAGAGAGGCGAAAGAGAGAAAACAAGATTTTGGCCAGTTTTCGAGAGATGGTATACAGAAAAACTAAAGGGAAAGATGACAAATAGGCATTTTCTGATTGTTCAGCAGACATTTTTAACAAAAAAGTCTGGGTTCCATATATACATACAAAAAGATTACTATGATCTGAAAAAGCTTTATAGTGCTCCTGTGCCTTCTATTAAACTCTTTCAGTCCTTCAATAAAAAGCTGCTTATTGATATAATTTTAGCAAGTTCTTTGGGTTATTTTTGGATTGACCATAATAACTTTCTGGTTTAAAAATCCAAATTACAAATAAAATCATACTGTACTTGGGGAGGTGGCATTGAGAGAAAGTGTCAGTAAGATCAGAAACTCTCAAATCATGGGACAGTGCTCCTATTAGCTCTATGTGATGCCCGTCCCCCACCCCCACCCCCACTGAACTGGTGGGAAATCATCATTCCTCTGTTGAATGCGTTACAAATGGACTTGATAGAAACATACAGGAGTCCACTTTTGTTAACAAGTTGAAGGCATTGCTGAAAAAAGCAAATCTGGAATTTGAAAATCGACTTGTATAATATATAGTCTGCCCTGGAAGTATTGTATTTTGGTTTTAGTCCCTACCTCTACCCCAAATCCAACAAACAAGCCAAAAAGACTAACCCACAGACTTACTGAGTTGAAAATGTGAATGTTAGTGTTTTAAGTTCTTAAAATTTTGAGTTCTTAAAAATGTTTCTTCAAATATAAAATACTGGGAGGTGTACAGTTGTGCCAATATAAGTACATTATCCATCTAAGCTATGGATTTGAATACTGAAAATAAATGGGAGTCAACTATGGTTAGGAGTTTTAATAAGGAAAAATATACTGAAGCATTGGTTTTAATTTAGTTTTGTAAGGATGAAGTTAAAATGATATTAAATATATTTTAACTGTGCTTTATGTAATAAGCATATTTCATTTTAAACATTGTTAAACGTTTCAGTTTACTTTTTACATCTGTCATTTGGTTTAACTTTTTATAGAACCCCTCACTTTATCACTTTTTTTATGGCTGCTATTGACTTTGAAGTTTTGGAGAAATGGGACTAGCAGTTCGTGATCTTTATTCTTCCTATTATTTTGTTCAATTTGAGTTGTTAGGTGAAGGGAAAGGGGACAGTGGAAGCTTTGGCTGTTCCTATTAAGGTTGTTTGAGCTGTGTTGTTACGTATCTAGAGTAAGTCTAAATTACCTAGGGGATGGGGAAGTTCTAACTCTGTGGTTATAAAACGTCCCCTCTCTTTGTAATAGTTTAAGGTGTTTTTTCCCCTGAGTTTTAAAATAAGGCAGTCATATTTCAAAGCATAGATAAGAAGTTTTACTATTTAACATGTGTTCTAGGAAAGTGTCTGCCTTTAACCTACAGCTGAGGAACTAAACCACTTGGCGTGTAGCAACCTTTATGACCCCTGAATCTGAAGTGATTTGTTTGTCGTCGTTGCTGCCTAACCTGATAAATACCTTGTTTCCAAAAGGTAAAAGGAAGCTAGATTCCAAATTTATGAGTTATAATCCATCTACTCCCTGCATAATACAACCTAAATTTATAATCCTTATTTAAGAATTTTGTTCTCTAAGAACATTATTTTTTGTTATTGGCTCCTAGAGACTGAATGAGTTTGCACTCTTATTTTCAGTAGGCAAAGCTGTTTAAGTGCAACAACTCTGTGATAGAGGATTATTGTGGGTTTTTATTGGATGTTACTGTGTCCTCCACAGAGTAGATATTCAGTAACTGAAAGAAAGCATATTGATGTATTTCAGAACTTTGTCATTTCTTTCATCAGGGTTTGTTCAGGAAAGATCTGCCAAAGAACAGCTTCAGTAGCATGTTCTTTGGCAAAGAGGAGGGTAGAATAAAAGGGCTGAAAGTATTTTATTTTGAGCTCATGAGAGTTACTGCTTCAGACTGCATTGAGTCATCTGAGCCATAAGTCCAACAGGGGACGTGTTGTATTTGAAATGTATGTTTTGTTCTTCAGGAAGACTTATCTGGTTTTCCACCTCCTTGCCTGTTGTTCTGATAAGATGTTCCCTTCTTTTATGTTTATTGCACAAATGTAACAGTTAAAGAAGAAAAATTACCCACAGTCTTACCACAGTTGTCTTTAGTATTCTGTGTTCCCTTCCAGTGCTTGTCTGCATAAATATGTATTCTGACATGCCTGTAAGTAATCACCCACAATGTGATCTTGTCTTTGGTGTTTTAAACCTTTACAGTCAGGCAAGACAGCCTCCCAGGGATGGTAGGAACAAGTGGCGATCTGGTGTGAGGACGGAAGGAAAGAGGACCAGAAATAAGTAAGGGCGGCAGTCAGCCCTTCCCTGTCTGATCGCCGCCTGTCAGGAAGCCGCCCCGCTGCCGGCACAGCTGTGATGCTGTGTGGCGCACAGCACACCCGCTGGCGGTGTGGGAGTGTACTGGCTAACCGTGAGGCTTACGTCACCCTGCGTGAAGGGGTCTGTGAGTGGGCAAATCTTTAGACTGGCTCTATTACGAGCTGCAGAACTGTCACCATTTTTCTTTTCCCCAGTTATGCCCATTAAAGAGGAGTGTCTACTAGAGAATTAGGCTCAGATGGGGGAATAAGCAGCCAAGGAACACTCTCAGTTTTTACCCTGACAGGTGAATTTTAGCAAATCTCTAAACTTGGCTTCTGTACCTGTAAGACTCGAGTGATGTAGACAGTGATGGGAAAGACCACTTAGAAATGGAAAACAGCTTGCTGGTTACTCTGCTAATGTGATGGAAGTTGCCAAATGGAAAGTGAATGAATGAATGCAAAACATGCAGCCGGATTGTTTGCCACAAGTTTATTATTCAATAAATGTTCTGTGGTTTGATGTGCAGTATCGTATTTTTAATACATTCTGATTAGAAGTCTAATCCTAAAACATTCTGTAAGAATTAGACACAATTGAATTAGAAGGGAATTGACTCCATTAAAATATTTTTGGCCTCAATAATGTCCCTCAGCCATTTTTCTCGAAAGCGAGTCATTCCTGGTCTGCAGAGGAAGGAAAATAAACATACCAAAACTTTTTAACATAAAACATTGAGCCAGGGATTCCCTGTTTATTCTGTTACATTCCTAGTGAGCAAGAAGTCATTTGGGGTGGGGAGCAAAGGTTGTCTCTATTCCATAGGCCCAATCAGTAAAAGGATTAGTGCATTTCTATGTAAACATTCTTTAAAAGAGCTGCTGTACAAATCAAAGATTATTATATAGGACTTAATTCCCTGTAACTGAATTTCTCATAGAAACAATAGACATGATCCACTTTGCCCCCACCCTCCTTTAGCGGTTAATCCTCAAGTTTCTAATGACTGAAAAACGGGACATTAAAACAAATTTTCTAGAGCAATGGCAGAACCCCTCGAGCCCATCCTGATGGGACGGGTGGGCCAAAGAAGAAAAGTGACCACCCTTTAAAAAATAAGTCTCCCTGGGGCACCTGGCTGGCTCAGTCAGTAGAGCATACGACTCTTGATCTTGGGGCCATGAGTTCTAGCCCCATGTTGGGAATAGAGATTACCAAAAGGAAAAAAAAAAAGTCTCCAAATGTTCATTACCTGTGAACTAATGAAAGGCCCTCAAAGATATAAGAGATCTCAATGGGCATATCCTAAGAGAGAAAAGGATAACCGTTAGCCTATACCAGTCAAACCAACTCATAATTCCTTCCATCCCTACACTTGTCCTTACGTATACTCTGAAGTTGCTAGAATTCATCCTCCTTACTGGGATGTCTGTAGGTGGTAGTTCTTTGTCACTTCAAATCTCTGTTCCCCAAAAGATCCTTTTGGCAACAAATACTTGAAGGATCACTGCAGAATTGGAAACAAGTCAGGAAAGGCTTGTGCTCCTCACAAGTACTCATTTACCTTCTCGATATGTTCCACTTTGCTCAGTTGACAGTATTTACCTCTCGGGAGTAGCATCAGAATGAAATAATACTGATAAGCAAGGTTTGAAAACATTTTTAGAGCAGCAGTGGGGGCTATAATACTGTCTCTGTGGGCCCCTCCCACACTCCCTTCCAAAATTCTACTTGGAATTTCGAGCCAGAGCCCTTCTCCTAAGCCCTGAGTGTACAGGCTCTGGTCACAGTCTTGCTTTCCTCCAGCAGCCTTACTTCCCGGTCTCCAACCTTGCCCGTGAGCAAGACAGCTGATGGCAGGATAGGTGACCGGGAGCGGTGAGAGCTCATGGAGGCAGACAGAGTCCCAGATAACTTCTGTGAAAGGATGGACGGCAAGGCGGGGAGTAACGTGTTCACGTCGGCTGTATTCCAGGCATCATGCTTGGAACCAGACCCGCTTCTCTGCTGACCCTAACCCTGGATTCGTGGATGTTCTTTGGACTCCTTTCACACCAGCTATCAGCCTGTCTCATATTCATCGTCTCCCTGGCAGCTACACGCAATTCCTTCAAGTATTCATCGAGTGCCTGTTACTTGCCAGGCCTCGTTTTACAGCAAAACAAAAACAAAAACTCCTGCCTTTGCGGAGCTTACGTTCTAGTAGGCAGAACGGACAATCCCGTAGACCATCAGAAGGTCAGAAAGTGTTAGGGAGAAAAAGTGAAAGCATGGAGGAAGGGATAGAAAGTGTGATGTAGGACGTGAGAGCCGGGTGTGCCCATCCCTAGGGAAGAAGGTCGGAGGGAACAGCAGGTGCAGAGGCCCTGAGGTGGGACTCTATCTGGGTTATTAAAGAGCCGTGAGATCACAGCAGCTGGAGGAGAGGGAGGGAGGGAGGGAGGAGAGGGAGGAGCAATAACAAGGGACCAGGCCTCGCAAGGCCCGGTAGGACCTCATTGCTCAGTGTACTCCGGGCCCACAGCAGCAGCACCGCCTGGGAGCTTCTTAGCAATGCAGCGTCTCGGGCCCCACCCCAGACCTGCCGAGTCAGAATCTTCCTTTCAACAAGATCAGCTAATGTGCCTGCAGTTTGGAGTTAGAGAAACACATGGGAACATTTTAAACAAAGGAGTGACATAATTTCATTTTATCAGGCTCACTCTGGCAGGCGTCTGCTGTTTTGGAAAGCTACACAACGAGGGCGAGGGTGGAAGCAGGGAGACCAGTTAGGAGGCCATTGGAACAGTCTTGGTAAGAGATGATGGTGTCTCGTACCAAGGTGGTAGAAGGAGCGGTAAGAAGTTGCTGGATTCAGGACCTATTTTGAAGATAGGGCCAATAGGATTTCCTAATGTGTTGGATATGAGGGACAGGAGTCAGGGATGATGCCAAGGATTTGGGCCACGAATGGAAATGAGAGGTCTGCGGGCAGATCAGGTTGGGAAGGGTAAATTGGAAGTTCAGTTTAAGTGAGATGTTTATTAAACATCCGAGTGGCAGAGGTCTGGGCTGGAGGTCAGATGTGGGAAGCAGAAGCTAGAGGAGGCATTTAAAGCCAGGAGGCAGTAAGACCACCAAGGAGAGGAGTACGGAGGACAGGTTCAAGACCAGTAGAGACTGAGAAGGAATGAGCAGTGAGGCAGAAGGAAAACCCAGATAGTGTGTGGTTCTAGCAGCCAAATGGAACGTTTCATGAAGCCGGGAGTGAGCAGCTCTGGCAAGTGCTATAGATGGGCCAAGCAAGATGAGGACAGAAATAGGACTTGAGTTTTACAAAGAAGGGGTCATCAATGACCTTGACAAGAGACATCTCCATTTTCATTGAGGTCTCATCTAAGCGAAAGGGGGAGAAAAGGAAGAGCTTACTGGAGGTTTGTTTTTGGTGATCTTGATGGTGAAGAAGGCAGAGGCAGTGACTGGCGGCATGGGTCTCTTAGCGGTTGGGATGCTCCAGCGTACACAGTAGATGTAGTGGTAGCTGTGAATCAGGTCTTTCCTCTCTATAAACTGTGTGTAGTGCACCCAGCGGTCCTGATACTCCCACGTCTGTTTCATATAAAAGAGAAAGAGCACATGGAGAAAAGCAAACTTCCCATTCGAGTCCTCTGTGTAAAGGCAACACACAACAGGAGGGGTTACAGCCTGGCTTCGGGCATCCGTTTCTACCGTTTTGGATTGGGATTCAAACTAGAGTCAACTCCCAATTATCTCCACAAGTGGAGGAGAGCAAAGGCGGAGCCCGCATGAGTGACGAATGCAACGTCCCTGGAGATCGGGCTTTGGAACACAGAGGCCACGCTCAGATGCGTAGGGGTGCATGCACGCCCCACGCACGCCACACGCACGCCACACACACGTACACATGCGACCTCCCTCCGGGCCCTTAACTCGGGAGACAAGCGTGGTTAACTGGAGAGTAATGAGAATGTGATCGGAACCTGTGTTCTGCTCACTCCTTGGGAGCCCTAAAGGTGTGACTGGAAAGTAATGGGGCCGATTTCACAAGCTGTTTCTGAAAATCCAGCTCACTTCAGTACAGCCATCGGTGGTATATAAAGTAAGTTTAGGAAAGGAATGAGTCAGGCCCTAGGATCCTCCAGACCCCTCAGATCCCTATTTGACCCCCTTGGAGAAGTTTTTCTCTCAAAAGCACAAATCTGACTAGCACTTAGGGCCCAGAGAAGTCACAGTGCAGCTCCAGCGCCCTAAGTTCAATTCGACTGAAGCCCCTTGGGTTGGGGGCACAGGAAGCTTCCACAGCCAAAAAAAAAAAAAAAAAAAAAAAAAAACAAAAAACCACCAAAAAACCCTGAATTGAGTTGAAGGGCCACAGAAGGAAGGAAGTGGGACGGTCTAACAGTTTCAGTGATGTGCGGAGGGCCAGTCAGAGGGAGATGGCTAAAAGATTTCAGGCCCTCTAGAAAAAAAAAAAATAGGTTGGCGTTCGCCCTCAGCTTACTTTCTTTCAAACTTAAGTTGATTGTTTCAGTCATCCAGACAGGAGCCCCAGACTCTATAGATTCCTGGAGATCAGGATTGTATTTTACACAGATTGTCATGCCTGTTAGTGAAGGAGCCCGCTAGTTAACCCTTTGCGGCCCACTGGAGCATGCCTTTCTTTCCAACCTTCCTATGTGAATATATTTCTTCAGCTCTAATGTTTAATCTGTTACACCATCAAAGACCTTGTACCATCGGAAGGGTCCCCGTTTTTATCACTGTTCAGGCAGCTGATTCTCACGTAGCTCCAGTGAGTGTGTGTTAATCTTGTATTTTGTCATTTTTACATAACATTGCTTCATATACTCGCTTCCAGGAAACAATTTCTCATTGTGCTACTCTCCCATGGATGGCTTAGCCAATTACATATTATTGGACACTCAAAATCAACAGGCACCTGGAAATACATGCCCAAAACTCTTATCAATGGTAAGTGACCCTCGAGGGAGTAGAACTGGGTATTGTGGGGGTCGAAGGGGAGCTTTCATTTTCTACTTTGTGTCATTTTGCTCACTGGGGATTTTTTGGGTTTTTTTTATAATGTCTTATTTTATTATAAAAATAATTTTAACTTGGTGGTAGGCATTGGGGATTTTCCAACTTTTCTCATATAAAGAACTTATTTGTGTATTCCTGTTGCCAGACTGTGTTCCTTGAGAAAATAAACTAATTGTGCCCATTGGCAATACATAATTGTACCTATTCCCTCCCCAAAACACACGAGCCTTTGGATACCAGGTTTCATCATTCTTATTCACATTGTAATACCTCAGAATCTTGTGAATTTACATTTTTCACTGATAGTAAAACTCTGCATTATTTTTGTCATCAGAAACTTTTCAGGGGCACCTGGGTGGCTCAGTAAGTTAAGTGTCTGCCTTCAGCTCCGGTCATGATTCCAGGGTCCCAGAATAGAGCCCTGAGTCCCACATCGGGCCCCCTGCTCAGGGGGGAGTCTGCTTCTCCCTCTGCCCCTCCCCCCACTCATGCTCACTCACTTTCTTGCACGCTCAAATAAATAAAATCTTTGAAGAAAAAAAGAAAGAACTTTTCCTACTATGGTGGCCAAAGTATATCAGACCTGTGATCAAAACTTTATTTTGCTGCTTGATCAGAAAGACTTAGGACCAGCGCGCCTAGGTGGCTCAGTCGGTTAAGGGTCTGACTGAGTTTTGGCTCAGGCCATGATCCCCAGGGTCATGGGATCAAGCCCCATAATGGGCTCCATGCTCAGGGCAGAGTCTGCTTGAGATTCTCTACCTCTCCCTCTCCTCCTGCCCCTCCCCTCGCTCGTGCACACTTTCTCTTTCTGAAATAAATAAAGAAATACAGTCTTTAAGACTTTGGGCAAATTGTCCAACCTCTCTGAACCTCAGGGTTTCTAATTTATAAAATGGGTACACTGATGTACCTACACGCAGGTCCATTGTGGGGATTAGATGAGATCATGCATGCGAAGTACTTAGCAGTACTCGACACACAGTGATGCTCAGGAAATGGTAACTACTCATTTGCCATCGCCTGGTGTACAGTGCATTCTGGGAAATCTGCAATAAGTTTGAGAAAGCTCTCCATCAGCAATGTCTGACCCCCGGAGGACAGACTTCGCTTCCAGAGCTTGCTGCGTTAGCAGGTCTGGGAACAAGGGGATTTTCTGTCAGTAGCTTTATAGAGCTTTTAACTTTTCAGTGAACTTTCTACTTTCTAATCATCTTATCCTCATAATGGTCCTACGCAGTAGGTAAGCTCTTCATCTGTGAACAAGTAATGGTATGGAAAGAACAAATCTGTTCACGTATTCAACACATATTTTAGAGCATCTGTGTGTATGTGACCTTTTAGGAGCTGGGGACAGAGAATTGGATAAAAGCTTCTGCCCTTATGGTCTATATAATCTGTAGGTGGAAGAAAGGCAAAGGGTAAGTAAGTAAAATCTAGTATCTTAGGTAGAGCCGAATGCTAAGGGAAAAAGTAAATCAGGGCAGGAGAACGGGTTGCAGTTTTAGATGAGGTGACCAGGAAAGGCCTCAGTGAGCAGGTGGAATCTTTTTTCAGTCGAGCTATAGTTGACATACAGTGTTCTATTAGTGACAGGTGTACAACGTAGTGATTTAATATTAATGTACGTTATGAAATGATCACGTTAGGTCTGTCACCATACAAAATTATGACACTATAATGACTACTTTCTCTGCTGTGCTTTTCATCCCATGACTATTTTTTTTAAGGATTCTATTTATGTATTTGACAGAGAGAGAGCACAAGTAGGGGAACAGCAGGGATAGGGAGACAGAGAAGCAGGCTCCTTGTCGAGCAGGGAGCCCGACACGGGGCTCCATCCCAGGACCCTGGGATCATGACCCGAGCCGAAGGCAGACACTTAACTAACTGAGCCACCCAGGTGCCCCATCGCCATGACTATTTTATTTTATTTTTATTTTATTTATTTTTAAAGATTTGAAGTAATCTCTGTGCCCAATGTGGGCCTTGAACTCGCAACCCCGAGATCAAGAGTCACATTGCTCCACCAGCTGAGCCAAGAGCACCCTGTGACTAGTTCATTTTATAACTGGAACCTCGTACTTCTTAATCCCCTTCACTTGTTCCACCCAAATCATACCCCTCTCTCCCCTCTGGTAACACCAGTTTGTTCTCTGTATTTGAGTCTGTTTCTGTTTCATTTTGGTGGTTCATTTGTTTGGTTTTTTAGATTCCATTTGTAAGTGAAATCATGTATTATTTGTCTTTCTTTAACTTACTCCTTAGTATAATACCCTCTAGGTCCATCCATGGGCAAGACTTCATTCTTTTTCATGGCTGAATACTATTCTATTTTATATATATCGCATCTTTGTTACCCATTCATCTACTGATGGACACTCAAGTTGCTTCCACATCTTGGCTTAGAGCAAATAATGCTGCAATGAACATGGAGTGCGTATATCTTTTCAAGTTTGTGTTTTTGTTTTTGGGAAAATACACAGTAGTGGAATTGCAGGATCATATAATATTTCTATATAAAGTTTTCTGAGGAACCTCCATATCGTTTTCCATCGGGCTGCACAAATTTACATTCCCACCAACAGTGCACGAGGCTTCCCTTTTCTCCATGTCCTCACCAACACTTGTGATTTCTTGTCTTTTTGACATTAGCCATTCTGACTGGTGTGAGGTGATGTTGTGCTTGTGATTTGCATTTCCCTGATGATAAATGACGTTGAGGATCTTTTCATGTGTTTCTTGTCCATCTGTATGTCTTCAGAAAAAGTTTCTATTCAGGCCCTCTGCCCATTTTTTAAATGGATTTTTTTTTCTTTTTTGGTGTTGAGTTGTAGGAGTTCTTTATGTATTTTGGATATTAACCCTTTATCAAACATATCATTTGTAAAATATCTTCTCACATTTAGTAGGTTGCCTTTTCTTTTATTGGTGGTTTCCTTTGCTGTGCAAAATTTTTTTTTGTTTGATGTAGTTGCAATTGTTTATTTTTGTTTTTGTTTTCCTTGCCTGAGGAGACACACCGAGGAACATATTGCTAAGGCTGATTTCCAAGTGTTATTTCCTGTGCTTTCTTTTAGGATTTTTATGGTTTCAGGTCTTACATTTAGGTCTTTAAACTATTTTGAGCTTATTTTTGTATATGGTGTTAGAAAATGGTCTGGTTTTTGTTTTGTTTTGTTTTGTTTTGTTTTTTTCAGTGTAACAGTATTCCTTGTTTTTGCACCACACCCAGTGCTTCCATGCAATCCGTGCCCTCTCCAATACCCACCACCTGGTTCGTTTTGTTTAGATTTTGAGAGAGCGAGCATATGAGCAGGGGGAGGGGCAGCGGGAGAGAATCTCAAGCAGACTGTGCTTCAAATGCAGAGCCTGATTTAGGGCTCAATCTCACAAGATGATCTCCTGAGATGATGACCTGAGCTAAAACCAAGAGTCGGGCATGCAACCGACTGAGCCACCCAGGCACTCCCCCTTTTTTTTTTTTTTTTTTTTTTTTTGCATGTAGGTGTCCATTTTTCTTAACACCTTTTATTGAAGAGACTGTCTTTTCCCTGTTGTATACTCTAGCTTCCTTTGGCATAGATTAATTGACCATATAAGTGTGGGTTATTTCTGGACTCTGTTTTGTTCTTTTTTTTTTTTTTAAAGATTTTATTTATTTATTTGACAGACAGAGATCACAAGTAGACAGAGAGGCAGGCAGAGAGAGAGAGGGAAGCAGGCTCCCTGCTAAGCAGAGAGCCCGATGTGGGACTCGATCCCAGGACCCTGAGATCATGACCTGAGCCGAAGGCAGCGGCTTAAACCACCGAGCCACCCAGGCGCCCCTGTTTTGTTCTTTTGATGTATGGGTCTGTTTTTGTGCCGGTACCATACTGTTTTGATTACGATAGCTTTGTAGTATAGTTTGAAATCCAGGAGCATACTACTTCCTGCTTTGCTCTTCTTTCTTAAGATTGCATTGATTGGGGGCACCTGCATGGCTCAGTCGTTAAGGATCTGCCTTCGGCTTGGGACATGATCCCAGGGTCTTGGGATCAAGCCCCACATCAGGCTTCCTGCTCAGCAGGAAGCCTACTTCTCCCTCTCCCACTCCCTCTGCTTGTGTTCCCTCTCTCGCTGTCTCTCTCTCTGTCAAATAAATAAATAAAATCTTTTTTAAAAAAAAGATTGCTTTGATTAATCAGGGTCTTACGTTGTTCCATGTAAATTTTAGGATTATTTGTTCTAAAATGAAAAAAATGCCAGTGGTATTTTTATTGGGATGGTATTGAATTCTGCAGATTGCTTTGGGTAGTATGGGCATTTTAATAATACTAATTCTTCCATTCCACGAGCATTTATTTGTCATCTTCAATTTCTGTCATCACTGTCCTACAGTTTTCAGAATACACGTCTTTCAACTCCTTGGTTAAATTTATTCCTAGGTATTTTATTCTTTTTGATGCAATTGTATATGGGATTGTTTTCTCAGTGGCTCTATCTGATAATTATTAGAGTATAGAAATGCAGCAACAGGTTTCTGCATGTTAATTTTGTATCCTGCAACTTCACTGAATTCATTTCTTATAGATTTTGTTTTTATTTGACAGAGAGAGACCCAGCAAGAGAGGGAACACAAGCTGGGGGAGTGGGAGAGGGAGAAGCAGGCTTCCTGCTGAGCAAGGAGCCCGATGCAGGACTCGATCCCAGGACCCTAAAATCATGACCTGAGCCAAAGGCAGGCACTTAATGACTGAGCCACCCAGGCACCCCTTGAATTCATTTATTAGTTCTAATAGTATTTTGGTTGAGTCTTTAGGGTTTTCTATATATAGTATCATGATGTCTGCAAACAGTGGTAGTTTTGCTTCTTCTTTATCAATTTGGATGCCTTTTATTTCCTTTTCTTGTTTCATTGCTACAGCTAGGCGCTGCACTATATGTTG